CCGGATAAGGGCAGTGACTTCCCCAAAGCGCCACAGTTTGTTAGTAGAACTGCAGGTACAATCCTAGGTCTCCAGACCCCAACCTAGGCTTGTGTTCATTGTGCTAACTTTAAAAAAAAATATTAACATTTGTGTCAATTGCGATTTAAATTAAAACGACTCACAACTCCCCAATTTCCTCAATTCCTATGTCCTTTCACTCCACCATTCCTCAGTTTCCTGCAGCACCTGTGGGAGCACATGTGTAGCTTTTATTGCGGGGAAGCAGCTCTGCTTCCATGATTCGGAGTTGCCATATTTGACCACAGCCCTCTACCTTTCACCTCTCCCATTTCCTCACTTCCCTAGTCTCAAGTCCCAGACATTTTGCTCTGTATGACTCCTTACCCAGCCTAGACTGTTCAGTTCTGTCCCCATTGCCTATCCACCAGCTGGTCAGTTCCCAAACCAGGGTTGTGGCTCCCTGACTCCACCCCCTCCCCCGCTTCTCTTTCATTTCTTGGCAGGGGAGTATTACTGTAAAAAACAAAAAAAAAATCATCAGAACATGCTGACTGAGCTCCAGATTCCCTGACTAATCTCACTGTTGGGCTCTCAGTGCAGCCCAGTGACCCTTTGTCTTTTATTGATTCCCTGTCACATCCCTCAAGGTAACTCTTGAGTTGTAATGACTATGTATGGTGTCAGGTGGGTACTACATCTATGGGGTGATAGATGCGAGGGGGGTTGGGGGCAGGGTAAAAAAAGTGAAGGGATTAAGAAATACAAATTGGTAGTTACAAAATAGTCATGGGGATGTAAAGTAAAGCATAGGGAATATAATCAATAATATGGTAATAACTATGTATCGTGTCAGGTGGGTACTAGTCAGGGGGATCACTTCCTAAATTATATAAACGACTAACCACTATGCTGTACACCTGAAGCTAATATAAAATAATATTGAATGTCAACTCGAAAAATTAAAAAGGGGGAGGAAGATAAAGAACAAGAGGTTCAAATTTCTAGATATAAGACAAATTAGTCTTGGGGATGTGATATACAGCATAGAAATATAGTCAATTATATTGGGATAGCATGGTACAGTGCCAGATGGTTGCTGGACTTATGATGATCACTTCTTCAGCATAGGGAATATAACCAATAATGTGGTAATAACTCTGTATAGTGCCAGGTGGGTGTTGTTGAATAACATGATGTACACCTGAAACTAATATAATATTGTATGTTAGTTATATTTTCATTAAAAATCTCAAAAAAATTTAAAAAGGTAACTTCAAACTTTTCTATACTCATCAAGCCATTCCCCATTCTCCCTCCACTCCCCAGAGTGCCTTTCCCTTCTATTTTATGAGGTTGAGGCTATGCATATGAACCTCTTAATCTATGAACCTCTCCATCTGTCACCACACTTGATTCATCCCTCAAAAATTCCTCTCTACTTTTACTCCTTCCTTTTGGACTCAGAGGAAGAAGTAGAACTCTTCCTTTACAAGGCCAACCCTTCGGCATATCTTCTTGTGTCTCCTTTCCAGCTTCCTCCAGGACTTCTCCGTGTATCATCTTCCCTCTTTCTCTTTCCCCTGCCTTCTCTCCCCCAGTCTACAAACATGCTGAGGTTATCCCTATTTGAAAATATGTAGTTTCCTTAACTTTGCCACCCTCTCAATTTCCTGTCTGATCTCTAACATCTCCCCCACCCAAGTCCAACCTTTACTTTGCACAGTTCCTGGTCCACAGAAGTGCCTAACAAATATTTGTTGAATAAATGAAAGGGCCATTCAGTTCATAATGTTCTCTCAAAGGGTACCATCTCCTTTGGTTCCATGGCACTGCTTTATCCTTGCTCTGCTGCCATTTCTGCTCTATCCCTTTGTCTCCTTTTTGCCTTGTTCTTTTTTTTTTAAGATTTTTTTATTGGGGAATTGGGGGGATGGGAACAGTGCTGGGGAATTGGGGGAAGGGGAACAGACAAGTTGCTGTCCTTTTGTTCTTCAGTCTAGTTGTGGAGGACGTTGCTTCACTGGCCCAAGTTGGCACCATCATTGCGCTCTTCCCGGGAGAGGCACATCAGTCGCCGGCTTCTGGACGGCCGCTCACTGCGGCTGCTGGCCGCTCACGTTGGCTGCTGGCTACATACGGTAGCCCATGGCAACCCAGTGCCACAGGGGCTGCAGCCTACGCCGTTGCCGGTGACTCACAGCAGCCCAGCCCCAGATCGAGCTGTTGTTCAGCATCTTAGCTGTGGAGGGCAGTGTCACTGGCCCTCACATGTGGGATCCGAACCAGGGTCCTCTGGCGTCCCAAGCCAGTTCTTAACCATCGCGCCACTCGGCCGGCCCTTGCCTTGTTCTTTAGATGTGGGTATTTCCTAAGAACATAACCTCAGCCGTCTTCTTTTCAATACACCTTCTCTCTTAGAACTCGCATCCCTCTCATGACTTTACATGGCATTTCTGTGCACAATATTTCTAAACCTGTATTTCTAGCTCCACCTTCTTTCCACCACCACCACCAGCAGCAATCCCATTTCTAACTCTCTGTGGAACGTAACAGTTTGTTCCATTGTTACCTCATATTATATATCCTTTTCTTTAGGCCAGCTCCTCCCGCTAATGGCCCTTTTCTCTTATTACTTGTCATTGTCCTAGTAACTCAGGTTCAAAGCCTGAGTCATCTCTAACCTCTCCTCTCTGTCACCTCCTTCATATCCAAATCCTGTTGAATTTCTCCCATTTTTTTAGTCATCTCTCCTACTTTTTAATTATTTTTCATTTCTCCATTCATCACTCTTTTGGTCCATGTCCTCATTTTCTCAAACCTGGGTTATTGCAATTATTTCCTAATTCATCTCCCTTTCTACTCTCTCCCCTAGGCAAATGCACTCCATCTAATTTATGTATCAATTCCACAATCACCCTCCTGTGATCTTACTTTCTGTGATCATACCTCAGCTAGATGTGACCCCCCTCCTTCCTTTGCACTCAGATAACTTTTGGTTTCTATCCCTTGCATGACTCTCATCACACACTTCACTGTTTTTATTTGTACTTGTCCGCTCCCCTGGAAAGCCATCAAGAGCAGAAACCAAGTCTTATCTAACTTATCTTTACAACACAATGTACCATACACAGTGTCTTATAACAGCACACCTTTTATGTACGTTAGTAAAATGCATGAAGGCAAATATGGGCCAATAAAAGTATAGATATATCCTTGGAGAAGACATGTGGAAACTGCAAAGATTTATCTCAGGTGAAAACTCAAAATGTCCTAGGGAACAAGTTTGTCTCTAGAGAAACAGGTATGTCCTGAGAAGAGGAGAAGTGCATTCCAGAGAATGAAAGATACATTCCAGGAAGCATACAGGCATATATTTATGGAATAGACAGACATGTCTAGGAAATGGATATGCATATACTCAGGGAAGCCGATATTTCAACAAGGAGAGAAGGAAAGTTCCTGAAGAGGCTTCAGGTGCCACAAGGAATAAACAGGTGTCTTTATGGAGAACAAAGTTATTCTCTAGGTGTTTTTGATGACCTGGCAGGTTTGTCTCAGGGAGAAGTGGAGGTGAAGATTCCCTGGTGAGGGCCGGCCAAGTGGCTCAGTTGGTTAAGAGCTTGTTCAAGAGTGCAAGCTCTGAGCAACAGGGTTGCCAGTTCGATTCCCGGCCCAAGCTGAGCTGCCAACAGGTGGCAGGATGGCTTAGCTAAAAAAAAAAAAAAAATTCCCTGGTGAGAACTGGGCCTCAGTGTCCAGGGGACACACAGGGGTGTCCCTGTACCAAAATGGTGAGTCACAGACTAGGTATGTCCCAAGAAAGTGGTGTGGACAAAAAAAGCGGTGCTGTAATAAATAATAAATTCCTAACTGGGCAAGTTATGGTGGGTAGTCACACGCCAGGCATGTAACTTTTTAGTAAAAGGCTTATCTTTGCCTTAAGCAAGCCCTGTCAAATGTTTTCTGTGCATCTAGGTTAACGCACCTTTGAAATGCCTATTTTCAGACCCCTCCTAAGATGTAACCACCCTCAAGAGAGCAAATAATCTTAACTATCCTATAATCCAACCCCCACTTGCTTTCACGTGCTCTTCCTTACTTTCCCTCCTTAATTTCAAATGTATAAAAGAAACTGCAAAACTGTTATTCTCTGGAGCTTGAGATCTTGCTCCCTGGTATATGTTGTCTGTTTTCGCTCAAATAAACTCATAAAAATTCTCTACAGGTTTGGACGTTTCTTACGTCGACAGTGGGAACATGTCTTAAGGGAGCATAAGTATGACTTGGGTAGCTGATAGAAGCATCCACTTCAGAACTAGTGGTTGCCATGGAGATGACAAGTCTCTGACCTCAGGGTCCAATCGCCTCAGTTTTGAGCTTCTTCCACCACACAGCAATCTCCTAGCTTTTGGCTTTAGTGGACACCAGGGGGCAGTATGCGGCCAGGCTGTAGACCACACCCCCAAGGCCCAGGACAATGTAGGATGAGGGCCAGGGACCTGGGGGGAGAGTCCTGTGGTGAACCAAGTAGAGAGAGGAGCCCCCACTGCCCTTGCCCTCAACCCTGAGATCTTCAGACATGGACTCCAGCTGGTCAGATGAGGGTTCCTATTCCCAGGCCTTGGGAGTAAACTGAGGTATGGAGAAGGGGAAAATTCAGGCTTCCCAGGTGCCCCCCCTTCCTTCTTGCAGGAGTCACAGCAGAAAGTCCTCCCTCGCCCCTCCCCCCACACCTCCCCAGCTGCTCTCCAGACAGGAAGGGAGTCTCTTCCTGCAGGTTTCCTGGAGCTGGGTTTGGAGAGGGGCAGGAAAGGCCCCGCCTTGGGAGGAAGGAATAGAGCAATGTGGCCTTCAGTTGGGGTAGGGGGGTCAGGTAAGTGAACAAAACAGTGGGGCTATACAGATTCTCCAAGTCTGCTGCCCAGAGCTGAGGGCTTGTGGGAATGGCAGAGACTCTGGGAAGGACACAGGCCCCCACTGAGATGGGGAGGACAGTGTACCAAAAAAAATCTTTTATTTTGAAGATTACAGAACTTGTGCCATGACCCCACCCAGCTTCTATTTCCATCCATGTAAGGATCTGCGGTGGGAGTGGGAAGAAGGAGGTAGGGAGAGGAGGAGAGTGACCTAGTGGTGGCAGGGGAAAGGAGTAAGATGGCTGCTGAGAAACTCATGCCACCTTAGGTCTGGGCATTACTGTCTTTACTCCTCCACACAACAAGGGTGACGAGGAACGGGATGAGGCAGATGGGGGCTATGATCAAGGCCAGAAGCACATCCTCTGGGGGGTCTGAGAAAGTGGGCTGCACCAGTGAACAGTTGGCAAAGTGGAGTTGGTGAGTCTCAAAGATGATCCTTTCTGCCCAAGGGTTGGGGAAGCCCAGGCCAAACGTGTCTGCAGTCCGTTCCAAACAATCTTGCAGGTCGCTATAAGGGCTGGGGGCAGGAAAAGACTAGAGTGAGGAAGGGGTTGGACCCAGAGAAAGGAGTGTCCCACCTTAACTCAAGGCCCACCCACAAGGAGTAGGCCCCACCCCTGGCCCAAACCACCGCCAGCACTGCCCCTACCTGCTAATTATGGCCCAGTCACACCAGTCATTTTCAATAGAGTCCATATATTCCTTATATGTTTGCCAGCAAAGACGGGTATTGTTCTTATAGACCTCTTCCAGCATTCTCCCTGTGGGCACAGATGCTGCACATAGACCACACCCTGCCCTTCCCGCCAAGCCCTCTCTTCCAGGTACTTCCATTAAAGAACCACTGTCTCTTGTCTTCAAACATTGGAACTGCCTGGAGAGCCTCAGAAAGTTTCCCAAGCAAGACACTTCTGGCTAAGGAGAGAGTCCCAAGTTCAGGAGAATTTTAATGTCTTCCAGGTGCACAGCACTTCTCAGCCTGACAAGTTTCCACATACACTTTTGCTGAGGCTTTCTAACCCACCTGTGAGGTGGGCCAGCTCAGAGCCAGGTGGGGACTTTGTGGGATGAGAGGGAGAAAGATACAAAGAACCCCAAGAGAGAATAGAGGAGAGTTTGGTGAGGCGTCAGTTGGAGTTGAGGCCTGCCTTGTGGGAAAGGGACCCTCCACACTGACTTGCCTCAAGCCACCCTCCCACAGCTGCCGGATACTCACCTTCTGACTCCATGCTGCCTGGGGTGGTAACAAGCTGAGCGAGGGACTCCTGGGGCTTCAGGACAGCTGTGGGCAGAAATGAGAGAAGAGGTGGGATGGCTGGGATCTGGGCAGGGGAGCCTGGAGCTGAGACCCTTGGAAGTCAGATCTACTCTCAGAAGAAAAGGACCAATAATCCACCCACGGAGTGCCTCAGTGCCTGGAAGAGAGGCTGGTACTAGCTCGTTCCCACTCACATTCAGACCCCAACCCCCTCCCTCCTCGCCCGCCCCAGACCTCCCAACACCTCTTGGCAGGGCCCGGGCGTCCCAGGTTTTCCCAAGTGGGAAGCAGCTCGCGCTGCGCCCTCACGGAGGTGGGGTCAGGGACCGTCTGAAGGAGAGCGCTGTCCGCACCCCCAGTCTAGGGCCCGTTCCGGCCTTGGTGGTCCAGCCCCCCTCCCCTTCAGGGCCTTCCGCGCTTCCCACCAGGGCCTCCGGGCGCAGCGCTCACCGCCCAGCAGGAGGAGGAGGCGAAGCGCTGTGGGTCGCCCAGTGCGGGTCGCCCGGATCCGCGGGCCGCCAGCGGCGCTCTCTACCCGGAGCGAGGCCATCGCGCCGCGAGCAGGCGAGGAGGGGCGGCGGCGCTGCGCCGGGCCCGGGCGGGGGCTCCTATATCCCCGGCCCCAGCCGCAGGAAATCGCGCCGCTTCCTCGCAGGGGCTGGGACAGCGGCGGCCACGTGGGGGGCGGGGGCGACGCCCGGGGCCGGCGGGCTGGAGGGGGAGTAGCAGCCCCACCCGGCCCTGGCGCCCGTCGCTCCCTCCGCCTTGCGGGCGTTGGCCCACCCTTTCTTCTAGCTCACCCTGCGGGGCTGGACAGCTCCCCTCGTAACCCCAGAACCGGGATCCATTTCCTGGGCTCGGCAGCCTGGCGCCCAGGACTCGCTCCGGTCTCCGAGCATCTGCTCCCGGGACTCGAGTCGCCTCTTCCCTTTGATGGGGAGGTGGACAGAGGTGGAGGTAGGGTAGGGAGCGAGCTACTCTCCAGGATTTGGAGAAGAGGGAGGGGTTTGGAAGCTCAGAGGGCTTCGGAATGAGACAATGTCTAAGGCAGGAGGTTAGGTTAGGGCTGTCCTGGGCCCTGGGGGCCTGGAGCTGGGAACTGGAGCTCAGAGTTCCCTGTCCTTGGGAACACTCACTGATGTCAGCCCGCCTGCCTAAACCAGGGAGGTAGAAAAGAGAGAGAGCAGCCCTCCAGAGTCGGTAGAAGGCCTGGGAAGAGGGCAAGAGGGAAAACCAGAGACCCAATACCCTTCCTTGTTGGTACCTCCTGGGTCCTAGGACTACAAACAGGATTGCGGGGAGAGGCAAAAGGAAGATAACTCCATTCCCAGATAGAAGGTGGCCACAACTCTTCAGGACCAAGGCTGTGAGAAGGGAGGGATTTAGAACCTATAATGTGACTTTATTCATGATGTGGGTACATTGTTATCCTCTTTTTACAGAGAAAGAAGTTAAAGCTTAGGGGAAAGAGCCTAGAACTTGAGTTCAGAAGCTCTGAGTCCTAATTCCATTTTCCCACTAGAATGACTACCGTCACCTTCACAAATTCTGAGACCTCCCTGGTAAAATAGGGACATCACCCTCCTCGATAAACTGTGGTGAGGATGACATATGTAAAAGGACATTGCAGTCAGTAGATGCTAGTTTCCTTTCCTCTTTCCCTAAGGCCTTGCCTAAGGTCACACTGCTGGAAAGCAGCATGGCTGAGCCTGGGGCCCCAGGGGCCCTGACTTCTGCCACACCACAGCTGTCTCTGTGTCTTGAGGCAGACCTTCATTAGCCTGAAGCAGTGGAGGAGCCCAGGAGCTGGCTTGGCCATGACGTTCAACTCCAGACACAGCTGTCAACACCGAACTTTCCTAAATTACTCCCAGACACTGACCCTTGGACTCAGCTGCTGCTGTTGTCCAAGTTCACTGATCCCTGCCCACCACAAATTATCTTTCATGATCTCTCTTCAAAATCTTCATCTCAGGATCTTAAGCTCTTAAATCATAGCCACTGATAACCTGTTGTCCTCCTCCATAGCTAGGATCAAGAGGTTGCTTTAGCGAGGCATGCAAAGGAAGAAGGGAATTGGCCCACTTGGCATGAACCCCAAAGCCCTCCTGGGGAAGGTCATCTTCTACAGTATGCAGAAAAGAGCCAGGCAGTCTCAGAGCCACTTCAAGCCAGGGAAAATCCTTTCCTTCCCTCCCATCTGTGATTGCTCTTTTCAGAAAGAAAACATGGTGGAGAAGGAGATTTCTGGATGATAAGATGGGAAGAGGAAGCAAGGAGAGGCAGAAAACAAAACCAGCCGTTTCCACTGGGCTTGGGTAGGAAGCACCTGAGCCCACTGTGGGTTAAGACTGGGACTGGGGTCAAGATTAAAGCTGACAAAAGCAAATGTTGATTTTTAAATATAGCAATATGGTATATGGGTAAAAACAAACAAACATTGCTTAGGATTGTGAAATCAGGTTCTGCACTTGGTCTTGCTGTGTAAACTTGGGAAGGCCATTTCATGTCTTTGGAGCTCAACATTTTCATATACAAAATGACCTTAGAATCAAAAGGAAAAATACAAGTGACTTGGTAGAAAGTCTGATTTTTAGCCTCGAGTTGGGGTTAAGCTTGCATCAGGATGTGGAGGCCTCCAAAGGAGAGCTTGTTATAGTCATCCTGAACATGGAAGTCCAGACTCCCCCATTGGAGGATCTGGGAATTTTCTCTCCTCCTGACTTTCCTCTTCCCACTTTTTCTTACCATTTAGATGTTTGGATGTTTTCACTGACCCCTGGGAACATCCTGGTAACTTGGGGTTGGCTATGGGGGTGGGGGTCCTTTGGGGCTGAATGGGGACTGGAGACCTCATCTTCCTCTTCTAAGTTGCCATAGAAGAAGTCCCATGTTCTGCAGCAAAGGGACAGAGAAGGGCTTCATTAGGGACAGGCTCTTTCATGGGAAGTCCCATTTTCCACCTCCAGGGCTTTTACCTTCATTTTCTAAACCCACTTCTGCTTTAAAATGGATCCTTTTTGTTATAAAAATATACTCTTTAATTGCAAGTAATACATAAGTATATACTGTTGCAGAATATTTAAACACAGAAAACTTTATGACCCCGTTCCTTTCTCACTCACCTCCTCACATATTTTGGACTTAAAAAAAAAAGCATAAATAGGATTTAATATCCGTGTTGTTCAGTAACTTTTTTTTTACTTGAATATCTTTCTATGATACCACATATAGATATGCCTCTTTCCTTTTTACTGTAGTACGTATTGTTTTTAGTCTTTTATTCTTATATCCAGTGGAGTCTTTAAGTTCCCTACACACCCCTTATTCCTCTGTCCCTGCCCCACTTCCACCTCCAGGGCTTGGGAAGAGAGGGAAGTGCTTCTGGTCCAGCTGAACATTGACCTGAGATTCCTGGTCCCAACCTAGACTGACTTCACCTGGGTAGGGATCTTACTGCCAATGTAAATTTCCCTTCTCATTATGCCTAAGGGCCATCCTGCCTGGAGCAGTGGGAGGGATGACTCAGTCCTTAGGAGTGCCATATCTAGTCCTCAGCCTTCCCCCTACAGACACACACACACACACACACACACACACACACACACACACACACACGTATATACAACAACAACAGCAACAACAACAACAACAACAACAACAACAACATAATGAGAAGTACAAAGCACTGGGGACCATCTACACAATGAAGTTAGCTACATGCAGAGAATCCTGCAATTAGCATCTCTACAGTGTAGAGACATTCACACATGCTGGCCTCTTCCCCAGCTGTCTGCAAAATAAAGAGCAGAGCACAGGAAAAGATGTGGGGGAGAGTCAGGGTCAGGGAAGCCAGAAGTTCTAGCTGGGTGGGGCCGATCCTTCCAAGCTGGAGAGAGAAGACAGACCTCTTCAGAGGGCAGAGAGGCAGTGAAGAGAACCAGGAGGGCTGCAGCCAGGGAGCCAGCTGGCTAAGGAGGGGAAGAAAAAGGGTAGGGACACAACTTCTGCATCTCTCCCCAGCGTCCTCATCTCCAGAATGATCGCACATTTGGTATAAGAAACATGACCACTTCTCAGAGGGAAAAATGGTTATTGGCGAAAACTTTGGCTCTCAGGTTGGTAAAAAGCACAGAAAATGTTTAAGTTATATTCCTCATCAACTGCTGAGGACTTAATAGTAGCTACCATTTATTGAACAATTACTATGTGCCGTATAGTATGTTCTCTTTGACACATGTGCTGAGCTCTTTGTACCAATTTCTTAAAAGCTTACATCAGAATTATCTTGTCCATAGGTGAAATGGGAATACAAGAGTGGTTTGCCCAAGGTCCAGAGGTAGTAATTGGCAGAGCCAGGATTTGAGCCCAGAGCTGCTTGATGCTAAGCTTCATGTCTTAACCATTATGCTTTGTCACCTCCCTCTCACTCCAAATCAGAATATTGATTCCTTATTGGGTCTTGAAAGGAAGGGAGGATAGAGTTTCTTCCAGGACCAGGTTGACCCCTCTAGAAGTAAGATCCTGCACACAACTTTGTCCCCCTCCTTCCCTGACCCAGGCTGGACCATGACATCACATGACAGAGGCTGTTTTTCTGAAGGAAAAAAAAAACAAACCCAGGCCAGATTTACAAGAACAACGATCAGAAAGAGGGCCTTGGCCAAGTGACCACAGCACACGCCCAGCAGTGCTGAGAACACTGCCGGTCCCTCAGCACTTGAGGATGACTCATGGTTGCTGTCAGAACCCAATGCCAGATGCCAAGATTGCTTTCACCCTTCCTCCATTCCTGGACTGTCCTATGAAGCCATCCCCAGGAACACTTCTACCCCCTCCCAGCACTGTAGGAGGCGGGATGCCCTGAGGATGCCAGGCAGTATGCTCAATGCTTCATACAAAATGTTTCATTTAAACTCACAACTCTATTAAATTAAGTACCATAGCAACCCACTTTACAGATGAGGAAACTGAGGGTCAGAAATGTTAAGTAACTTATCCAGTCATGCGACTAATATGGATACCCAGATCTTCTTGATGCTGAGTCCTGAGCTCTTTACCTCTGCTCCACAATACCTGATGGAAGTCCACCTGCTAGCCAACTTGCTAGACACAGTCAAATAGGAAGGGATAAGGAAGAGTGTCCAGAGAGCAACCAGACAGGGCTCCTTATGGCACAGAGAGCCTTCCCCACTCAGTACAACCCCTCTCCTGACTATGCCTGCTTCACCTACTGACAGTAGCTTTTCACATCCTTTCCCCCAAGACCTGAATACATTAGATGAACAATGAAAAAAACCCATGACACTATGAAGTAAATCATTTTTCTAGATCATAACAAGGATCCAATATATGCTAAGCAAATGTGACACTAATAGTGCATGTGTCTTAACATGTGTAGTGGTTGTAATCTGAGCTTAAGTAGTACTATAAAAGGCCATGTTTTCCTCCTCTGTAAAATGGGGACAATACTATCTATAAGTTATAAGAGTTAAAGCATGTAGAACTGTACAAGTCAATGTAGATTACTATTATTTCTATTGCCTTAGTTGTCAAGAGCATACACTTGGGAGTCAAGCAGACTTGAGTTTGAATCCCAGCATCATCACTTTTTTAGCTGTATGCAACCTGTGCAGTTACTTAACTCCTCTGAGCTTGTTTTCTTATCTGCAAAAATGGGGTTACTAGCGTGCATCTCACTGAGCAGTAGAGATAATGCATGTAAAGCATTTGGTCCAATGACTGGCGCTAGTAAGCATGCGATCAATGGTAGTGACTATCATAATGTATAACACATATAGTTATGACAGCTATATTTCCAAGATATTCTAGGATCCTTCCAGTTTTAGTACTTTGTCCTTTTCATTACATAACACTCCTTTTATGGAAAAGAATACAGACTTCGTTGTCAAACAGACCTAGCCTGAATCTGAATTTCAGCTCTCCTATTTTCCAGCCATGTGGCCATGGCCAATGTTGTCAATCTCCCTGAGTTTCAATGTCCTTCTCTGCAAAATGGGAATGACAATACCCACCTCTCAGGCATCTTTCAAAGATGACGTAGGTTCACCTCCAGTCTAATGTCTAGTGATTATGTGAAAGCTAAGGCAACTTGTTAAATATATAAATAAGTGCAATTTATTTTGGTTCCTTTACATGTAGTGTTATGGATATAATCTGTAGATGCATGTATTGTACTTTTCTTGCTCCAAAAGAGCCTCTGTAGCCTAGTATCCCATCCTAGCCACAGTGGGGTTCAAAGGGCCATGGCATCAGAAGCACAGGACCCTGCTGATAAGCCAGGGAAGACAGAAGAGGAAGTCACAGAACCATGGGGCACTCCCCTTTCCTGTCTGGCTAGGATTTGTTTGTCTTCCACACAGGCTGTCCCCTGCTGATATGGGGGTCTGTCGAGTGTCCAGCTCTGATTGGCATCTCCAGTACAGAGGAAGTAAGGAGCCCCCTGCCTTTTGGGAATTGTTTTCCTCTGGACTTGCAGAGTAGAGTCTCAAACACATTTATTTCTCTCCCTGGCGGCACTGGTGAGAGCAGAAAGCCATGGAGAGGATCCAGAATCATGATGTCAGAGCTAGAAGACCTCAGAGAAAGGAAGAGGTTGAGTGGAGTGGTTCCGAGCATGGGTTTGGGGGTCAGAATGACTGGGCTCAAATCCTGGCCACACCAATCACCAGCTGGGTGATGTGGGGCAAGTTTTAGAATCCCTTTAAGCCCTAGTTTCTTCAGCTGTAAAATGAGGATGAGGATATATTACTGACTTCATATGACATGAGATGACCTATTTTAAAGCACTTAAGCACACTGCCAGGCACATAACGAACGGTCAGGATTCGAAGGCCATTATTATTTTTCTAGTTCTGTAGTTTTACAGTTGAGAAGTCTGATGGCCAGAAAGGAAGCACAGCTCATTAGCTGTCCACCCAATCAGGGCTACTTCCCAGGCAGGGACGTGCCAAAGGCGTGTCCCACTGTGGGATCAAGGCCCAGCATTAACTGTGCCGGGAGAGCAAGAAATGGGCAGCGCCACCCTCGCTGTGGGGTTGGAGCTTTCAGAGTATGTACAAAGCAAGGCATAGCTCCCAACCCAGTAATCCCCCCAAAAGTCCCTTCCTACTGGAATTATTTATTTTGTAATTAACAAAGACTGAGGAGGCCCTTTCTAATATTTTGGCTTGGAGGCTCAGAGTTTAAACTTATAACAGCCATGGACAAGGGTTTATTGTGGACCTGTTGTTACTTGCTGAATTGAATGCATTATTATGATCCCTAAGCCAACTAGGGGTCAGGAGCTAAGTACCTGGGGTTGGAAAGCTGTGTTTTTGAGATCAGAGGACAAAGTGTCCGGGAGTAGAGAGGCTTCAAAAATTGAGCCGTGTATCCAGGCTCAGTACTGTGTGGGCCCCCACTTGCTTTGGAGCCACCTTTACCTCTAAGTGTTCAGGGAGGGGTTTGGCACTTGAGCTGGCCCCCACTAAGGCCTAAGCAGCACCCCCAGTTTCTGGTGATATTCATGTGGGATTTTAGGTTGTGCTTTGCTTTGTTTTGTTGTTTGTTTCCCCACAGCAGGGTGGCCTTTCCCTGCTTCTGGGTGGGAACTGGGGGAGGGAGGATGGTTTGCTCCCATCTCCACAGCTGTGTTTACACTTCCCTGTCAGGGACTGTCTGGGGCCCAACCTTTCCTCAGTCCTCTGCATCCCCTCAGAGAAATGCTATTTGATATCCCTGTGGGCTTTACGTGGGAGGGGCAGAATGAGTCAAGGGGTCACCATCCAAAGGGGACTGGAAGGAAGGGAGGAAGGTTGCAAGGGAGGAAGGAGGAGTGCAGAAAGTTCTGTTTGAATTCTGGGAAGCATCATCTCTTTCCCTTTCTATCAGTGGCCTGAAGACCACCAGCAAGAGACAAAAGTACACTTAGAACTTTCCCGCCCCAGAAGGAACAGAACGTATGACACGTCGTTTCTAATCACTGGGCAGAACAAAATCTTGCTTTGTGATGGGAATGTGCACACACAGAGCAGAACAGTCTCCCCTAAGGCTTCATTGGGGCCAGTGGTCAGAGATACAGCATGTTAAAGCCAGTAAGATCATGCTAAAATACACACAAATTAAAAAGGATTTAAGAAAATGGTCAAATAAATAATGCTCTTCTTCTCCAGGGAGCCAGCTGAGCTGGTATTAATCAGTATACTAGTGTTGCCGGACTCCCTGCCAAGCCCAGGAGAATGGCTGCCAAGGCAAATCAGGCATCAGGTTTCAGAAATTAAACACATAATTTTATTTTTCCGCATTAGGGAACTTTCAGAAAAAGAACCAGCTCTATTAGGCTACTCAGCACACTTTGTCCAGTTTCTTTCAGCCCCAAAGTCCTCCAATTTAAGAGCAAGATGACCAACTGGAAGCCAGGAGTAACAAAGTTATTCCTTTCTCCTATTAACTGCGGGGCGGGGGTGGGGCTGGGAGGAGTGGGGCAGGGGTGATGGTACTGTTTTTCAGAGGTCCAGTTGCTGACTACTTGCCAACAGTTTTTCTACGAATTTATAGGACAAAAGATCTGAAGGGTTGGAAAAGAAAAAGTTGTAGAGGAAGAGCTGGCCAAACAAAGATTGGCTGATAGTTTCTCATGGACCATGGTTAGCTAAGAAAGAGCCTGGTCTCAGGAAAATCTCTCTCCCATCACAATGAGGAGGAACCAATTGACAGACAAATTTTCCCCAACACCCCATACTTATTGGTGATGTGGAAGGTTGTTTTTATAATCCTCCAGTGAACAAGGATTAGTCCTATGTCAAGTTACCGTGGTGGACATGAGAAAGATATACAGCGTGGTAGTGAGTGTAAAGAGGTCCTAGAGTTGAAGCATGGGAGATCCAGGAGGGCTGGAAGGCTTAATGAAGATGTGGAGCTTGAACTGGGCTGCAGGACTCTGATCTATAACTTTGACATAAATTTCCTCAACTTCCTTCTTTTCCACCTCAAAATATTTCTGTAACCATATTTTCTTTGTTATTGCAAAATTTCTTTGTATCTCTTCTCTTGTTACTTGGCATACTCTCCTAAAGCAAAGTTGTCCACTCCTATGGTATTATTTACCATCATGTTGATGGTTCCCAAATTTCTCTCCAGTCTCAGTCCTGACAATTCAGATCTTCTGAACATCTCTCCTTAGATAACCTGCATTCTTTTTTCCCCCCAACAATTATGTGTGTAGTGTAATGGTTCTCAAACGTGGTCACACAGTGGAATTACCTGGGATGCTCTTAGGACTTGTCAAGCCCAGGACATTCTCCAGGCCAATTACTCAGGCTCTCTGGGGGTAGGAGGAAGGCATAAGTTATTAAAGTTCCTCAGGTTATTTTCAATGTGAGCCAATTTTGAGAAGCAGTGATCTAGAAGGCATTGAGAATGGAAAGGAACATCATTGCAAATTGCCAAGTATGATGGAACTTTGCCTTTATTTGGTAGCTATTGGGCAGACGCAAGAGAAAAACAACGAAGTCAAAGTTTCTAATAAAAGGAAAAGAACACTAAATCTGGAATCCAGAGACCTGACAGAGCAATTTTTTGTCTGTGTAAGGCAAGTCTTTTAACTCCTTTATGCCAGAATAGCCTTGCGTGTAAAACTGAAATCCTCCCTACCTGTTTCATAGAGTTGTTATGAAGATTACTTGAAAAAAATAAACATTATAGGGTTTTATAGTTATATACTTGGAAACAAATTTAAGG